TGTCATATTTTTAAGAGTAATTAGGATTTTGACAGATATTGTGTCAATCCATTCATTGAAATAAATTAATAGGCTAAGCAACTATCAACTAGATAATTGGTTTCCATCAAAAAAATAAAAATAAAATGTGCCTGACTGGATGTTAAGTAAATATGGCACTAGAAAGTGTTAATGTGGATTAAATTAAAAAGATGACAAACATTAAAGATTATGATATGTACATTAAAAACAGTAGAAAATTATTCTATTATAGTTGCACAATATTCAACATGGGCACTAAAGTTAGAACTTTGTTTAAAATTTTAGAAATTCTGCTGTGCTCACAGGGACACACATTAATTTAACTAAATAATCTCACACCCTAAAAACATGTTTAACTATTTTTAGCAATATTTGTAGCAGTAACAATCATAAAACAACACAGTGTTTTCATTCATGTAAACCATGAGGGCCATGTAGTCAACTGTAGATAAGCATGTAACGAAAAAAGATGAATTTGGCATAGTTAAAAACATTCATGATTTAAAATTTTACGGTATATCAATTATTACAATATATATAATTACCCGAGTTGATCTTTCGGTGTCTGATAACTTCTTTTCAAATTTCAGACCAATATTTGGCCTCTGAGACTGTGACAACAATGCGTCTGCATCCGACATTTTGTCTAGTTGAAAAATCACGTGACACTCGTTTCCGTCAACGAGATCAATTACCAACCGCAATGCTGATTGGACAGTGTGTACAGCGCACCTGCGCGTGTAATGGTCTCACAACACTAAATGGTTGTCCACTAAGACAAGCAGAGTTGTCCTTCTTTATTCATATGTTGCATGATATGAAAACCCGTTTTCTGAGCTTGATGTTGAATATCATTTTGAAATTAATTCAACACTTATATGGTCAGGTAGTTAATCCATTTAAGGAAAATCCGCTAATTCTGCCAGGATATAAAATCAGCCGGTTAGAATAGTGGCAGAAAACAAAATATTTATCAGTGATAAGCTTGTCTGTGAGTCTCAGACATCACTCTCAAAATTACTTTTTTTTTGAAGTTGCAGTTCCTGCTTATCTCAATAGGGACAGCACCGGATTTGTAACTCAGGGGTAGCTGATTGGACGAGTGACAAATGATCTCTAACGTTGTGTCTAATGACTATTTGTCTCTCACCGCAGATGCATAAAATCATGCTGGCTTAGTAGTAAAGTCATTTGCGGAGAAAATGGTAGTTACTGAAATTACCATCTAGCAAAGCGGTAACAACTGAGTATGACAAAAATTTTCGTAAATACAAAATTTACTCATATATTTCACATATATTTGTTTATTTGGGAACCATATGCCGATTTCCATGGATAGGCACAGAATATATAATGCCAAGAATTATGTTCAATGGTCGCCGCAGTACGAAAACATCTGCATATATTGCAAAGTTCTTATAATAAATGAAACGCAATTTTGAGTTTTGGTTGTTAGGGGTATAGATCGTAGCTTGCATCTACAAATATTGTTCATTAAAGCCGCCCTTTTCTGGCAATGAAAAGTAAAGGATGAAGTAAAGTCATGCATGAAGGTATCGTTGCACCAGTGACTATTAGATGACATAGATGTAACACTCACCAAGACAAGTTACAATTAGTTGATGTATTAACCTCAAATTTAGGCATTGCCTTATAAAGGAATATGGTGATACTTTAATGACATCTTTCTTTAGGCATGTCTGGAGGAAAGGTCATTTGCAGCTTTTACTTTTAAGAACTGGAATCGGCGCACCTAGAGACAGATGAAATATAGACACACATGGCTTCATCGGTTCTGCTGGAATCGACTGGATCTACGGACACTTGGATATACCGGCACTGTTTCTTGAGACTAAAGAAATCAAAATATCTTAGACTAATTTCACTAATTTGTCATCAAAAATCGATATTATTGACCAAAATAAAGCAGAAAATGCACGTATTTAGTATGAACTTCAATTTGAATCGCTGGTCCTGATCAAATTTGGAATGCCTTTAAACAGACCAAAGTAAGAAAACACTTTGATACCAATCCCGGCCGGATCCCCTCAAGTATCCCGAGATTAATCCGACGACGGCATAAACTGTATAGTAAGGTAAATGATAAAGGTAATACTGACCCACAGTTAGTCTGTTCAATGTTCCATCCAAACACAAGGTGATTCACAGAGAGTCTGAAACAAGAAATTTTACAGCTTTTAAAACATATCCCCCCCCCCTCCAAAAAAAAAAACCAAAAAAAAAAACCCCAAAAAACAACAAACTGTTGTGTATCTCTCTGCCTATAACATTACTATAGAGGTGATTGATTTTCCTGTTTTCTGTTTTAGTTATTATTAATAAAATGGGCATTTTTAACGAAAATGTAAGCCTTATTTTAATGTGTACGTATAACATTCAATTAGGAAATGATTAACAATAAAAATATTGAAGTTCCTTTGTGTTTTATTCAATATAGAACTATTTGAAAGTAGCCATTTAAAAATTCTTTTAAATAGTGATTCCATGAAATAAAAAAAGAAAGAAAATGATTTTCACTCATTTATATTTGTATGTCTCACAGTAAGCAATGCCAAAATGAATCAGCTTCATAAATATTTGGTCAGTTTGCTGACCCTGTTACTCGTTTCATGTTACTCATTTCAGCCATATATTTGCACAAATTCGGCGTTAGTTGTTCACAATTCGAGTTATTTTTTGTACAGGAATTTCTTGGAGGAAAATATCAGCAAAGACTTGTTTGCTATTTTGACTACATTTACTCTCTCAACATGACTAAAACTTGCGAATTTAGTCCTCGGGTTTTTGAGCTAAAATTTACAATTCCTTTATTGTAAGGTTAACCTTGAAAGTGAAAGTATTTTTAGCTTGTTTATTTTAATATATGAACGATAGTCTGACTCTCATTTACAGAATGATGTTTACAAACATAAAAGACACAGAGTGATGCGCTATAAGGAGGACAACTCCAGTGATCTAGTGATTATTTGCAATGCATATTTATCTCCCTTATTTATATTACATTTTATTACAATAAACATCATGAAATGTATTTCAAAATAATTTTTAGACAAATTTTTATTTTTTTTTACAGAAATGGAGTAATAAAACTAGCAGACGTTTCGGGGCTAGAAGTTTTTATTTATCCTTGCAAATACAAAATAACACAAAGTAGTAAAATATGTTACATTCTTGTTGCGAATATAGATAATGAGTGTTGAAGGTGAAATTAGTTCTGCCTATAATAAATCGCCTTCAGTAGAGTTAATACTGTCCAACCAGTCATTTTCATACATGTATTTAACAAATATTTGTTGTACTGACCATTTTATTATCGCACATATTTTTTTCAATTTTTCGTCATTTATTTTTTATTATTTAAAGGCGGTAATGATTTACACAGTAGCATTAAATTCACATTTAATTATAAATATCTTTAAAGATTATTTAATTCCTTGATAACTCTATTTCTACCAATATTTTAAACATTATTAAATACACATGACCATATTCATCAATATCTTGAATTCCTTAATCATGTAGAAGTGTTAAACCTTTCAGTCAAGCTAACGGTATCGTCGCGCAACACTTCCATGTTCATAAACTGATCATTGCGTGTGAACGTGATATATAAAGTCTTACAGATTTCTTGTAAGATCAAGAAGCACTTTTTTTAGAAACGCAACTCGCCTGTTTTTTAACAAAACGTTCAAAAAAATGATAAGACAATCTAAATCGTACTTGATGAAGCACCAACACGACAACCTCGTTTATTCACCCCGAAATAGGTATGGTATAGGGGTACGAGTCACGCTCGCAAATACGTAACACTTATTTTATATACATAACAAATACTAATCATATGTATTTAATATTCTAAATTAACTTTTTCTATCATTTCGTATTCTGTATTATTCAAATTAACACACCCCGTACGTGCTTTGTCTTGTGCCCTGTCCCGTTTTTGTTTGGTTACCTGCTGGGCTCTTTGCAGGTGTTCCTGTGTTGCTGGGTCGTGTGGTGGATGCGTTCATTGAATGCCACCATTCCTTGTTGATCTTGTTTGCCATATTTTACCTGATCAGTCTCAGATTTGGTCTTCTAATGAACACATTAGACTTAGGAATTTTTTAAAAAGCAAATCACGAATTTTTTTATCAACATGTTTAAATAAAGAAACAATAAAGCATTCTATAATACCTGATTATGTAAATATCTTTTAAGGCTGAAAGGTGTTATTTACCCCGTTTATTCAACTCGTAATATGTATGAAGTTGTTACTGCCATCCCCATCATTACTTGTATCATTATTGTGGTGTAGTGGTTAGCATACTGAGACACGTGGTTCGAGTCCCGGCTGCTAGGTGCCAAATTTTCGTGTGATTTTTCTGTGTAAAACTTCCTGCTCATGACTTTCGCCCTTTCATATACATGTATATATAAATCGTGATCAGCATCAAAATTTGCCTTCCTGGTAGAGTTCTATATTTGGTAATTTCATCGTTTTATTGTCATGTCACACGAATATTTACGAGTAGTATTGCATTGGTTTGACTTCCTGTCTGCTGTCTGAAGCCGTTACATACTGGAGAAAAGATTTTGATGGATGAATACATAAAATATTGCACGGACAGGTAATTTTACCGTTAATATTGGAATGAAAGAATGAATCATGTTAAATGCATTAATGTAACCTTTTTCAGTTTCTCGTCGCCTTAAAAAGAAACAAACTGAAATTATTTTTTTAAATGTCAAAAACCTTGCATTGTTTTCGGATAAAACACTCGATTTCTTTTTGAATAAATATTAATACATTTATCCATAGATCGTTGACATTTGGTATATCTCGACATTATACGGGTTAACAACGACAAAAGAAAATAAAATAAAAAATAAAAAACAATCATATCTTAAATTCGGAATTATAGATAGCGGGAATATCTTTTTTACTTAATGCTCAAAATTTACTCATGATTTATTTCAGAAACATCAGTGGTGAAGTTTTCTGAAAACAGTTCCATCCGCAGTCGATACTGTCACAATAGATATATCAATTAAAAGAACTCGATACGAAAAACCACTCCATACATTCCCATAAACAAAACACGGTCAATCAAACTACGACAACAACTGATTTTTTTGTGATATAATCTGACTATCCCTTATTTTTAACTGATATATTACGGTCATTCTTGGAGAAAGAAGCAATATTATCAGGATGCAGGATCATTTGGTGCTAGGCGGAATCTATATAGTCCTGGTATGTTTTATACAAGGCCAAACGTCGGCATCAAAGCAATGTGAGTTTAAGGAACTAGACACTTTTTCTTTGGAAGAATGTGGAGACTATGGAATTGCACTGCAATGTGACAACAAAAATCTGAATGAAATACCAAGAACTTTTCCAGCTCACCAATCAGAAACGAACATATCCCGGATATGCTTACTGGATCTAAGCCACAACCAGTTGGGGGATCTTGAGGATTACACTTTCACAAACGTAACTAACCTGAACCCATTTAACATTTTGTGGTTGTTTTTACAGAATTCTTGTATCACCAATATACCATCTAAAACGTTTAGTGAACTATCAAACCTCATGTATCTTAACTTATCAGAGAATGCTTTAATTTGGCCTGACAGTTTTGGTTTTGGAGTTTTCAGACCTTTGGTAAATTTGAAAGATTTGAATTTGAAAGGAAACCCAATAAATTCTTTTCGAGGTATGGGCGAAGAATTAAGTAATGCAAACAATCTTGATTTCTTACGTGTTGAACTTTGTGCAGGCTGCACATTTGACACAGACTTTATTAATCTTTTCCGGCTGACCAAATTAAGCTTATCTGGTTGGTCAAAACAAAGTTGCAACGCTTCGATTTTGACAAAAGACATTTTTGTAGGAGTACCAAGATTAAAACACTTGTGGCTTTCAAATTGTAATATTGAAGTTATTGAGGCAGATACCTTTACTCGTTTAAACAGCAGTCTAATGTTATTAGATATTTCAAAAAATGAAAACCTCCATTTCAAAGGAATGAATAAAGCATTACATGGTCTGAGAAATTCAGAAACATTGTTAGAGTTGAACGTGAATCAGATACATTCGCCTTATGATTATGGAATACGCGTTAAAAAATCGGATATTGTAAACCTGAAGACACTTAAAGTTCTAGAAAGACTTTATTTGGATCTAAATAAGATAGAAGTATTTGACGAACGGATCTTTCACCCTGTTTTTCAACTTCCTGGAACATTAAGCCAAATATCTTTGGCGGGAAATCGACTTTCATTTGGAAAATACGTAAATGTTTGGCATAGTGCTAATAACATTACATTTCTTGATATATCTAAACAACACTTTACACATGGCCCTTTTTTTGATAACCATAATGAGCCTGATATAACTGCTGAACCAAGAACTGCACGAAAGAAAAGATTTTCAAATTCCAAATGTGCTTGCCAAGAGCCGCACGTAGTTTGTATACCTCAAAAACTGCACACGGTCATATGGCGAAGTAGTTTCATTTATGCGCCATTGAAATACAATTTGAATGTTTGTGGAGCAGAATCATTGAAGCATCTTGATCTATCATTAAATTTTTTCACAAAATGGACAACACCAGTAAAGGGTTTAAAATATTTGAAACACCTAGATATTTCTGAAAATTTCTGCGATGAAGTATCTCCGTCATTTTTCAAAAGTTTCAAAACTTTGGAGCATCTTAACGTCTCTTCTAATATTTTAGGAGAATCTCTCGATCCCGCAAAATGTAATTACTCAAATAAAATATTCAGTGAATTAACAAGACTTACAAAATTAGATTTGTCAAATAACAAGATCGAACGACTCCCTAGAGATGTATTTGAAAATCTTAACAACTTAAAATACCTCAATTTGAGCTCAAACATGTTGGTAGAATGGAATGTCACCTTTAGCAGTAATACTTCTCTAAAACGGCTTGATTTATCTGGGAATAAACTAACAACTCTTCCAATTGAACTTACAAATTATCTGGACCGACTCTGTCGAAATAAGTGCGAGTTGAGCCTCATTTTAAGTTCAAATCCTTTTCAATGCAAGTGTGATTCTTTACCATTTTATAAATGGATGCTTTCTACAAAGGTAGAAATAACTTTTTCAGATACCGACGAATGTCTTTTGAAGTCTGGCAGATTCAGTCTTAAAAAAAGTTTACAAGCCATTGCAGATTATTTGGAAAATGAAGCTTGCACTGATAGAAGTTGGATTGCCTGGGCTGTCGGAAGCGCTGTTAGTGGAATACTAGCCTGTATCATCTCTGTCGTTATATGCCGAATAGTTTACAAAAACAGGTGGAAACTTAGATACTTATATTACAGTAGAAACAGGCGTTACCGACATGAAGGATTTGGCCGATTGTTTGAAAACGACGCTTTCATCTCGTATGCAAAGAGCAAAGCATCCTTTATTAAAAGTTCAATGGTTCCATCTCTTGAAAAGCAACGAGGCCTTCGTCTCTGGGTAGCAGACCGTAATTCCATTCCAGGCACGTCTGTCGCTGAAAATATTATACATGGCATATATAACAGCCGAAAATCAGTACTTCTTATTGACAAAGACTACTTGAAAGACAATTGGTGTGACTACGAAATGAATATGGCACATTTGGAAGCTATCGAAGCAAAGAGAAAATTGATCATTCTAGTTCTCATGGAACACATTCTTCCTGAAAATCTGCCAATAAGTATAATGAACTTTCTTCGCAACGAACGCTCTCTTGAATACCCTGAGGACCACCAGGACTTGGATTTATTTTGGACAAATCTTGCTGATGAAATAATGCGTGCATAAAAGTATATATATGCATATATGCGTTAATTTTTCATCAAGTGTTTCAATTATTTATTAAAACATTCTGTTGCTTTTGAAACAGAAGAAAAACTCTTTATCTCGCTTAACCATCGCAGACATCCCAAATTATCAGCTCTAAAATTGGGAAGTTAATGGTAATTTAAAATATAACACTGATTAAATATTTATTTCATGGTCTGTTTTTTTTTAAATTAAATTCGTACAACTTTGACAAATATTCTATACCATCAGAATAAATCTTATTCTGTTTTGTTTGTGTAATTAGCTTCATTGACGTATAGGTACCACGTTATAGTGCTCAGTAAAAGCAATGTTACTACTTAATTAAAGCTGTTTATCTAGATGTAGTAATAGTCATACTTAATACTGGAAGAGATGAAAAAAAATCTGGAAGCAAAGTGATCCCTTGGAAGCATTTATCACAACAAAATTACAAGAGAATTGCAGACTCGGTTTGATTGATTCTGTACATGAGGGATAATGAATAAGTGCAACATCCCTCACGCCCCCTAGCATCGGCTTGAGCGGTACTCAATTCTCAACACTCAATAGTGCTGGCATCAGTGATCCCGAAGGACCAGAAAAATATAACAACACTGAAGTGAAGTACGGGGCAACATTTTTACAGCTGCCACACATCACTTGACACCTGCTGTTGTAAAGTATAAAAATCTGGAAGCAAAGTGATCCATCGGAAGCATTAAAACACAACAAAATTACAAGAGAATTGCAGACTCGGTTTGATTGAGTCTGTACATAAGGGATAATGAATAAGTGCAACATTCCTCACGCCCCCTAGCACCGGCTTGAGCGGTACTCAATTCTCAACACTCAATAGTGCGGCATCAATGAACCCGAAGGACCAGAAAAATATAACAACACTGAAGTGAAGTACGGGACAACTTTTTTACAGCTGCCACACAGCACTTGACACCTGCTGTTGTGAAGTATAAATTACTTAAAGTAGTTGATTCTCTTACTGCTCACAAGTGATTTAAAAACTGTTCTTGATACGTGACTAGGACTAACCCTTCTGTAATTTGGCTATAGAACGATTTTAAATGTCAAACAATCTTTAAAGTGATTGGCGAAAAGTATATATCCTAGTCAGGCTTGTCACTTAAGTGTAGAGTGTTCTTAAATCGTGCATAAACAAGTCAATATTTCTGCTAGCAGATTTAAACAATATCTCTCTTCTCATTAAAATAATTGGAAGCAATGATTTTAAACACTGAAAGAAGAAGCATCGTCAGACGTTTAAGAGTCGTCTGCACAAACTATCCAATAACCAAGTAACATACATACTTTAATGTTATGAAAGTATAAATAAAAATATTTTAATGCTTTGCCTGAAAAAATCTGATAAAATTATCGTTTATTATTTTTCTTTGTGAAGAAGAAATGAATGATATGGCATGATTTCGTTTACTTTATTGTTTATTTTCAGAATATCAAAGAGTTAATTCTAAGTATTTTTTTGTGACTTAAGACTTGAAAGCATTGTAGAACAAAAAGCGTTGGAGATAAAGTTTAGATCCATTATTTAGGAATTTAACCAGGGCTGGAAATTTCAAACGAATGTTCAAAACACCTCGGAATATTCGAACACAGAGAAATTAATACGAACATTTGAGAAAAAGAAAACTAAATAACGATTTGATAATAATTTTAAATATACATGTATATTAAAACATGTGTATTTTATTTTATATTTTTAGTTTTCCGCATGTGTTGATAAGTAGATGCTTTACTTTTATCCAGTCCCTTTCCCGACATGCTGCAATTGACTATGTATGAAGCAAATAAGAAGAAGCGTTTTAACATCTCGAGTCGATATGTATTTCGTATATATACTTCCTCGTAATCAATATAAAGTCACATGCATTTGATCTTACCGAAGGTCACCTGCATCCCACATGACATTTTTGTTGGTCCCCCGTGTTTCAAGAAGCCAAATATTCAACGCTTGCATTTCGGTAGAGTCTTTAGGGTTAGGGCACTGTTTTATTTTGAATAATGCGCAGTTGACCCGATTATGTTTATTATGTTTTAGAATTGTTTCTTAAATTTGTTTCTGTGTTGAAACATGTGCAATTACTGCATCCGAATATTTATGTTTAAGTTCAGTGTATACAATACTATACAGGAAATATTCTATACGTTTGCTATTTTTGTCTTGCCTTTTCCTATTTGATGTGTTTTCGTTTCTGCAAAATATATGCGATATATTTTCTGTGCTTATTGTTTTCCAATAAATATCTCTTTTCATGACTTAAACAGCATCGAAAAAAGTAATGTATAATATATATAACCGATGTCATCATATATAACAAGAAATATTAATTGAAACCCAGCTGTTCTAAATTTTTCTCAACTGTTCAAATGATTATCTTGTTAAACTATTTTCCTTTCTCCCTTTTTCCAACTAAAATAAGGTAGGCCGTGCTTCTAAGATGAATTTCTTATAAATGAATAAATGAATGAATGAATGAATGAATGAATGAATGAATGAATGAATGAATGAATGAATGAATGAAGTGCCACTGGTATGTTAAACAAATACATGTATATTGGTGTTTTTATATTAGTTAAAGCAATTGAATAAAAATATGTCAAGAAAGAGTTTGACAGTTTTTTTTCAGCTTATTATTGCTATAAGTTCTTAAATCTTTTAACTATATTACAAATATGGTTGACAAGGAAAAAAAACAACTTCAAGCGCTCCAAAAGTGACACTTAATACTTGAAGTTATTGTAATCAAGATGACATTACTAGCTTCCGTTTGAACATGAGCTGTTTGTATGATGAGTATAAGTTGCTATTATCTCAAGTCATGAGAAATTAATCTTAACAGTCGTCAAATGAATCACACATGTATCCAATTAGTCATCTAATTGTTGTTAAAAGTACTAAATGCCTTTAATTGTTGTAAATCTTAGTAATTGTAATGTAATTTTATGAAAGGAAATTAATACAGAATAAATATGCAACAAAAATGCATGTTTCATGGGTCTTTTATCTTTTTCAATTATGAGAATTGTTATAGAGGTGACATGATGGAAACGTTAGTAGCTTAACTAATCACATCATACAATTGTACTCGTATATGAAAGGTCACTGATTGTTTTTGAATTCTTTATTTATTCATTTTTTTTGGAATTATTTATAGTGTTCTATAAAATATGTTGAGATGAGGGATATACAATGACTGTATAAACAAGAGGCCACGATGACCCTAAATCGCTCATCTTATAACTGTTGCTAGGCAACAAGAAGGTTCATTGCTCGTGATATTTTAATTTTTGATTTTCAAAGAGATGTCCAAATATGAAGACTGCACTAATAAATATTCAAAATTGACCACTATATGCTATACTACATGCATAACTGCACCAACTCTAAACTGGAAATACAGGTCACTGGTTGAAAAAAACTACGTCTTCAAATGACCAAAATCTATTAGGCAAAATAAAGAGATTGTAAACAATAAGATTGACATTAGGTAGTGATGTATTTTAATTTACAGTGTAGAAGATTGTGTTAAATAAATAAAGCTGTATCAGTAACATCAAATAGTTGTTCTTTTTTAAATATTTTAAAAACACGTTTGAAATTTATTTAAGAATTGATTTGTCGTTTAAGGATTCAGTAGGATATTTAGCAAAATGAAGGAAAGGAACCGATATCTACTAGTCATTAAATAATACAAGTTCTTTGTAAATTTGATTACAATCACCAATCATGCAGACAAGACATTGTCAGCGGCGAAAACAATATAATACATGACAAATAAATGCTACATTGAGAAATAAAACCTTCGGTGTTCAGTCGAACAATCTATGGTGTGCTGTCAGGACTATTGCGCTGTTGCCATGAAAGCGTTGATACATTGACGTGAAATCACGACCGACTCTCAACATGAGTGTATCGGGTTAATAAGGATTTCTGTTTATGGAAAAGTAACTTCGACTATACACGACTGTCAACAACACTATTATGAATATTACAATAAAATAAATAACTATAACTATAACAATTAAAAATATTTTGTTTACCAAATAATTGTAAATGGTATTATGATCTACTAGGCAATGTTTCATGCCAAAAATCTAAGCTGTAGCCCTTGTACTATTTAAGAAATTAAAAAATGAAAACACTTTATACAAAAGGAAAACAATGCCCCCCCCCCCCCCGGGTCAGGGCAAATTTTGACCCCATGACATCTTGATAGACTTGTGTAAAATATCTATGCTCTAGGTATTGTGGTTCTAGAAAAGAAGATTTATAAGTTTTTCCCTATTATTCCTATCCCATATTTCTGCATGGAATAAAATACCTTTTGAAAAAAAAAAATCTTTTGAAGCCGTTCACCGAAGGATCAATCCTAGCAAAGGTTGAAATCAGACTTGTGATTTTTAAGAAGATTTTGTTTAGGTTCACTATATATATAATCTATAAACATGTAACAGACGAACGCCAGCATGCGCGGTGGCATAAAACAAATAACAAAAGATATCATGCTTCGACATTGTTATTTGTTTGCCATGGTTCCGATGATAAGATCGAGATTTAAACTACAAGTCAAGAATTGATTAGCTTAAATACGCAAACTTTTTTTCCGCATCGTATATTCATGTATATCTTTCGTATTCACCATTCGTCTTTATATGAACCCGAACCTGCAACATTTTCAAGTTAATTGTAGGAATGCCATTTTATCTAGTTTACGTCAAATTTCAAGATGTTGCATTTCCAGCAATATCACAGTATAGTTTTGTCTTTAATGGTACACCGTAAATTACAAATGGTAGCAATCAAAAGTGGACAGACAACGCAAAAGCAAATTAAATGCATCTCTACGCCATAGAACATAAAATCGTGACATAAACATCAATTTCGTAATATCGTATCAGTGTGATTTTAAATATTAGTACTGATTGAAAGGAAGGATTGTTATATGATTATTACAAATATAATTATTAGAATTATTGACATTAATGAAGGTAAATGAGATTAAGTTAGTTTGTTTTTATATAATGTAAAACTAAAAAAAAATAATATGAAAGAACGGAACAGTAGTATACAGTATATAGATAGTCAAGAAATAAATTTCGAACAATGTATATACATGTATTATATATATAATTCACATTTATTGCAGATAAACCCTTGATATGAGGAATATTGCGTATCTAATCGGCTCCATTTTGGTGACTGCAATCCTGTTTGTGGCAGCAGCAGTAAACAAATGTACAATTGATGATCTTACAAATAATGGTTATACCATAAATTGCAGAAATCTGTCTTTCACAAAGGTACCAAAATACTACCCAAAGTTTGAAGTAAATGGAACAGTTTATTCTCTTGATTTGAGTATGAATTCCTTTGTTCACCTTGACAATGGAACGTTTTTAAATGTCATGAATTTGAACATTTCAAGAATTGGAAATCTTAATTTAGGGTTTTCAAACATCTCGTACATATCACCAGAAGCATTTTATGGTTTGACATATTTACGATACCTAAATCTTTCGGGAAACTATCTTTCGTGCCCGGATAGATTTAAGAAAGGTGTATTCAAACCATTAATCAGTCTTAAATATCTGAATATTAAAGAAAATAAGTTAAACACATTTGCTGGCTTAGGTACAGAGCTAGGATATTTGAGGAATTTAGAAGCGCTTTCCGCTGAACTGTGTGACAATTGTTCTTTCGGTAAAGACTTTGAAAAACTTCAAAATTTGAAAAATGTAAGTTTATCTGGTCGCTCACCAGACACTTGCAATGCTACAGTCCTTCGCAACAACACATTTGAAGGTCTCACTATGGTGAAATGTCTTTGGTTGTCATCTTGTAATATTGAGAAAATAGAGGCAGACGCATTTAGACCAATGAACAGGAGTTTAACTCACCTTGATATATCTTACAACGAAAAACTTCAGTTTGATGGAATGAACAAAGCTCTTTACGGTTTACGATTTTCCGCAACTTTGTCGGTTTTAAATGTAAACCGGATTCACAACGTGCACGGACTTGGCGTGGAATTAAAGGCTTCTGATCTAGAGAATCTAAGTACGTTGAGAAATTTGTCTAAACTTTTCATGGACCTCAATAAAATAGAAATATTTGATGAAAAAGTGTTTAACCCTACCACTAAATTTCCTACTTCACTTAGGGTTTTAACAATCGCGGAAAACAGAATATCGTATGGAGAATATTTCATTTATTTCCACACCGCTAGAAGTATCACGTGTCTAGATATATCAAGACAGCATCTTTATAACGACCCTTTCATCGCGGAGCACTATGAACAAGTGACAATCGGAGAAGAATCTATAAGTATAGATGATGTTTGCTTTGGAAAAATAGATATTCTTCCAGAACAAACGTGCACATGCTTACTTAATTTTCCTCCAAATTTGCGTCGATTAAAGTGGAGAAAGAGTTTCCTCAATTTCGATTTAGATGCTGATGCTTGTGTATGTGGAGCTAAAAATCTACTGTTTTTAGATTTATCATTCAATCTTTTCACAAAGTGGAAAAGTTCGACGAAAGGACTGGAAAACCTTAAACATCTCGACCTATCAGAAAATTACTGCAGTGATATTGCTCCTGACTTTTTTGACCATTTTACAGAATTGCAATATTTAAATGTTTCAGGAAACTTTTTAGGACCAACGTTAGAAAAAACATTAACTGATAAGCCAAATGGAATATTTAGAAACTTGAATAAATTAACAGATCTTGATTTGTCACGCAATGAAATTGTACGATTTTCAGATCGTGGCTTCTTTATGGGAATAAAAAATATCCATCATCTATATTTGCATTCCAATCGTTTGATTGACTGGGACTATGACATGCCGGAATCTCTTAAGCTAATAAATTTGTCGCAAAATAAATTATCAAGTCTTTCTCCCAAAGTGAGAGATCACTTCGACAAGGTTTGCATAAGTAATATATGCAACATAACTGTTATATTGTTAAACAATTTCTTTAAATGTGACTGTGACAATTTACCGTTTTTAAACTGGATGTTGTCAACCAATGTGAATATTAAAATTGATACTTGTATATTGAACTCGGAAGAGAAGAGAATATCGAAGAAAAGTGATTTAGATACAATAGTAAATGACTTAAAAATGGATGTTTGTAACGATAAAACCTGGATTACATGGACCGTTGGAACTGTTTGTGTAGTGCTTGGAGGTCTATCTAGTATTATAACTGCATTAGGGGTTTATAGATATCGCTGGAAACTAAGATATCTATATTACAGACGAAATAGAAGATTTAACCACGAGGGATTCGAACGTCTTTTTGAAAATGACGCATTTGTATCTTATGCAAAGAGCAATGCGAGTTTTATTAAACGCTACATGGTTCCTTCTCTCGAGAAGGAGCGCGGCCTACGCCTTTGGGTGGCAGACAGGAATTCAATGCCCGGTACATCTATAGCCGAAAATATCACACATGGGATAAATATCAGTCGGAAAGCTGTTCTACTCATGGATAAGGCATACCTCAATGATAATTGGTGTAACTATGAAATGAATATGGCACACGTTGAATCGACCGAAACAAAGAGAAAAATGATCATCATTGTATTAATGGAAGATATTCCATTTAAAACACTTCCTATATGTACAATGAGGTTTCTACGAAGTGAGCGGTCCCTTGAATACCCAGCGCATGGTCAAGACTTAGAAACATTTTGGACCGATCTTGCTGACCAAATTATGAGTTAAATGAAACTTTTTGTTTCCATTCGTAAGAATAGACATGCATGGTCTCCACATCATTCATATTGAAAAATGAATATATCAAGTAGCGAAATAAATGTGCTCTTGGTCCAGGTGAAAATCTAGAAAAAGGGAGATCCTTTGAAACAAAATTAAAACAATTTCAAAATATTGAAATTTCAGAATCGGTTTGCTGATTGATTATTGGAAACATCATCAATAAGACTCATAAGACATCGCGTTAGGTATAGCGGTCCAGAGCACTTACGTTAGTACATAGAGACTTGGTTGGTACAACATATACTAACTGCTCTGTCCTTTATGTATAATTGTATAATAAACGTATAATATATTTTACAAAATATTTGCATATTCATTTAACTAAAATATTTATGTGTGCAGTTAGTCTGAATCAGAAATGTTGTTTCAAAATTTCTATGAAAGTCTGAAAGGATTTAAGAGTTATGGTGACATTTGCTTTGACGTACATAATGCTAAGTTTTAAAAACCTTTTGTAAATAATGATTAAACCTTTTGTAAATAATGATTATGTATATACCAGTATTTGTATTTCTAGAAAGGTGTTTTTGCTTTTTAATTGCTGAAGATTTAATTTTGAAGTTTCCGAAAAATCTTGTTGTAAAATAGATAAAATAGAGAATATAAGAATCCCTAAAGAAAGCCCAACACGACAAAATTGAAAATGTTGCAGGTTCGGTTTGATTGAGCCTGTTCATGGACGGTACTGTCAAGTGCAAAGTACCGTCCACGCGCCCTAGCACCGGCTTAAGCAGAATTCAACATTTAACATGAACTGGTTCAATTTTGAAACATCCGCAGATGTGTTCATATGGCAGTTATTATCATGGAATCTTCAACGTGACACTTTCGTGCCATTCCATGAAAACCGGCATATGGTCCCGAAGTAAAAAATGCGTGTGCCCTAAACGAGAAAACAATGGGCGGAACTAAATAAAATGGAATTTTGAAAGGGGATCAGAGGTTATGAAGCCTGCGTATCACAGATAAGACGTCTTGTAAAGGCCTCAACAGACGGTAGGATTTTGAAGTACAACACCAATTAAAACTAAGATGTACAGACAAATCTTAATGTGTGAAGGGTATTATTTCTTGATTTCGGAAACCTTATGTCAAGATGTAAGGGATAGGACATGTTCTATTTTGAAAATCTTGTCGTACCGATTTTTATAGACCTCCCACAATGACAAGTAACAGATAACCAAATTATCTCCTGATAATGGGTGTAATGAATGAAATTCCAGAACAATTAGGGCTAAAAGGTAAACATAGTAGTAAGATGGGGTAAAAATGATGTTGAAAAACTCTTCAGGAGACCCAAAGTTGTATTATGTTTGAATCCCAAATTATTCCGAAAATGATTATGTCACGGTATTGAATTGTTCTCTAATTAGGGGAGGGGAGGTAGTTTGTAGGCGACCAGATAGCTTAGACAGCAGAGCCGCAGTACGGTATTCCGAGGGTCCTAGGTTTGAGTCTCGGTCAGGCTTCACATTAAAAAAAAATATATATATATATTTTTTAAATGGAGGTTTTTCAATCATTACTTATGGCGAAAAAAGTATTTAGTGAGTAAAGTATGTAAAGGATCAATGTAAAGGGATCCTTTTTAGGGGAAACCTCAGATGATTCTTACAGTGTAGAATTACCGTCTGAATGCAAGTGTTGTATAGCTTTGAAAATTGTACATCTTATCTCTAATTAGCGCTTTACAGCTAAATCCTACCGTCTGTTAAGGCCTTAAACTTGGCTTGTAAGTTTACTAAGGACACAACATTTATAAAAGCTTAATAACTTGTTAACCATTCAACTATGAAAGACACACTACAAGATGTTCTTTAGCCATAAAGAGTTATTTTCGTGTACAAAAGTAATGATAATGAAATAACGGGCCTATGTATTGGTATAGTTCAGAGAGTCATTTGCATCATAGAATTATATTCTAAAGTTCCAGTATACAATCTTGAATACTGTTAAATCACCTTCAGAATATGATGCCTGCTTTCGGAAATAAATGTTTACCTAATAAAGTTCCAATCTTATTTCTTAGTTCTTACAGTTATTTTCTCGTTAACGCGTATGCATTCTTGTACACGGGGCCGCGGGCCGCTTTTTATGGGACGGCACTGCCGAAAGTAACGCATTCAAGTAAACTATTCTAGGGACTTCTAAAACATGAAAGGTGTTTTGCTAAAAACCTAGCGAAGCAATCAGTTTTTCTAGAGGGAGAGGGGGTTCAATCAATTGATGAACTGCTTAATATGTTTTTTCTTTTGTAAACAATATAAATTGTGACTTTCATTTTATTTTTAATGTTTCATCACATGTTTCAATGAACTAGTATATCAACTATTAACAAAGCACGAAAAGCGCTTTGCTATAAAACCAGCGAAACAATTAGTCGCCTTATAGCAAGAGGAGTGGGATGCTATTTATTGATGTTAACAGTTCGTTGGCGTATTGATTTGTTTAAGCAAAACTGACTAGTATATTCGAAAAAAAAAATGTTTGATATTTTGTTTTTGAATTGTTCTTAGGTCACGATGTCTCTCATATATATGAGCGGGATATTATACACAGAAAAATCACACGGAAATCGCACGCCGTTGCCGGAACCATGTGTTTCTGGCTTGCCGGTCCAGTATGTTAACTACTACACCAAAGCGATTGTTACTTTTCCTTCCTGTTATCATAAATATTCTTATGTCAAACATATGTAGATGTCTATTATTTCATAAGGTTACTACCGTCCATAAATGAATATATATGAAACGGAGAATGTCATGAGTCAGTGTTATGTAATGGTTAGCATACTGGAATGACAATCTAGAGACCCGTTGTTTGAGTCCCGGCTGCGCGCGCGCGTGTGTGTGTGTGTGTGCATGCATGCGTACAGGTTTGCGTGCGTGTGTGTGACTATCATTTAAACTATAGACAACTAAATGACTAACGCAGATTACATGGAATGTAGGAGCCGTTTGCAATGTGTAAATTACATGAACATTAACATGAATCTACAGGCATGCTGCTGTAATATATAAAATATGTAGTCAAGTACAGTTTGAACAGTTTGAACAGTTTATTGACCTTTTCGAAAACCTAGCTAAACACCGTTTTCCGGTACGTTTCGGATTTAGCTCTGGGGAATTACACCACATGAAGTGCATAACATTCTAACACGATATTTCTATTTTTATATGATAATTTTACCGTTAAAGTTGAAAAACCTTATGTGTTTGAAAATAATCAATGTTCCTTTAATATCTATTGCAAATTTTTCAAAAAAATCAATTATTTATAATAAAAAACATAAAAAATTAAAACAAACGAAGTGGCATCTTTCATGATAAATAAAGACATTTTCTGCGTAAACCTGTGTATTTACTTTATATTTTGTATGGAATAATTCATTCAATGATATTTAATTATTTTCTTATAAAAAATAACAGTTTTATTTCACTTTAATTCGAAAAAGGCCAAAAACATATAGCGTTCGTTATTACACTCCATTAGGTGAATTCCCCAGAGCTATGTACAGAAAGTACCGGAAAACGGCGTTTAGCTAGGTTTTCGAATTCGTGAATTGAAAATGTTGGGCCTCTTAGAGCCATCAGTCACATGTACATATAATATGAAATATCATAAAGAGAGTTCCACGAAATATATGGCAGATATAAATCAAAAAACGAAAGTGTTACATTATGAAAATAAGCTTAGCTATCAGTTACTTAAATGCTGATATAATTTTGTTACAGAATACTGCAAGTTTTAACAATATACTCCTATCTGTGCTATTCATAAACATAGAAAACATGATTGAATTAACATTAGTACTATACTCTCTAGTAATATATTTTTTTTCTACCAGTATTAAAGAATCGGCAATTAAATAAGTAATGATAATCATCACAAAGTGAGCTAGTATTGCATAAGTTACATACACTTAATTCTATTGGTATATTACAAAATCTACCAGACTCAATGGGCAATTTATGGTTCATACATCTAAAGCGCAATAGTACCAAAGCTAAATGAGATAGTAAAATATCTAAAAACTTTTCAAATCTGATTTCACTTTTGTACATTCTATAATTCAGACATTTACTGGATTCTGACATTTCATTATACCAATTTTGAATGAACTGGTCTTTCAGTCTATTTTAAACAATTTTCTTAAACAATGGAAGAGAAGTGGCAACATTATTAATCCAAAAGTTTGATAAACCCAGTGAATCTAATAATTTACTAACAACATGGGAGTTTCAACACATTTCTACATATCATACAAGTTATGGCTTATTGATTCTTGTTTGTTACTTAAAATCTTATTCCAAAAGCATAAAACTCTACTTTTTATATGAACAGATAAAGGTAATATCCCTAAATCTCCATAAAGCATACAATTTGGAGTACTTTGTTTTAAATTTAATATGAGTTTATAAAATTTTAATTGAAATCTATCTATGATATTCACATTTTCAATTCCCCACACTATGCTACCATATAACAATATAGGTGCTACCATGCTATCAAATAAATGAATTTGCATACTGATAGGTAGGTGCAATTTTCTAGCCTTAACTATAATTGAAAACATAGCCTTTCTTGCCTGTTCTTATAAAATGATTCTTTGTTTTAGCAAATTTACCATTATAAGAGAATTTAACACCCAGATATGAAAAATCATCAACAATCTATAGCAAATTACCTTCAAATTTAAAGGCTGGGATATTACATAAACCTCTTTTACTTTTACAAAAGCCTTTTATAAAAGCAACTTATAATAAGAATGTAAACGCGATACATAGTAACGTAAAAAGTACCAATCAAATTCAGCATCAAATCATAGACTACTTAAAGGAAAACATATGTACTGTAAAAATACGATAATGAGAACTATTATCTAAATTTCTTCAACTAATGAATCCAAAAGCATTGCATGATCGGTTCTGTGTTATTTTTACAATATTAATAGGCATACAGATGAAATCACTGATATAATGATCAGTTGATTTCAAATGCGTTGTTGCTTTAGTTGAGAATCTCCGTATACAATAATATCAATAGTAAACTCAAGTAAACTATTTTATTGAGTACGTAAAGTCCACTTGACGAAAATACTTACCATATAAAACGTAAAATGTTATATTTGAGGTTAAGTTGTTATTTATATTTCTAAGTTTCCAAAATGGATTTGGCTTGTTACAGCTAGAAACTAGTGCTAACCTATTTGATTTCTGAAATTCAGATATTTGTAAAGTACGAAAGTCTTTTAACCGATTTCGAATTTCTTTGAATTACATGTATTAAAAGTCGGACATAC